GTGCCTGCAGCACCTCCTTCTCCCCCCTCCTTGTTCACTGCCCCTGGTGTCTGCAGAACTGTTCCTCTCACACACTCTCTCACTCCTCTCTCCTCTGTTATTCCAGGCAGTTTTTCCCTTTCTTAAATTATGTTATCCCAGAAGCACCACCCACTGTCACTGATGGGTCCGTGGGCAGTGGCAGGTCTGTCCTGGAGTCATTTAATCCTCTGCTCCTTTGCAGAGTACTGCAGCTCACTGTGACCCAGCACTGCAGGGGAGCAGAGCCTGCACCATTACAGGGGTTTATGAGATACTTTAGTTTATGATATACTTTAGTTTATGATAAACTTTAGTTTATGATATACTTTAGGGTTTGTCCAGTACTCCCATACTAACACTCTACACAGCTTCTGAGGTTTCTGCCCTGTGAAATGAAGTTGATTGTTGAAATAAAGCTGAAATGAAGCAGGGCTAAGATGTGAACCTCAAACCTTCCCCCACAAGTATTCATTCGAGAAGGAGATGGATTTGAAGCTGTTCATCATGCCAGAGCCATGGCAAAGCCTGCAGGGCCTGGCTGTGGGGCTCAGCCCACACCAGCATGGCCCTGCCCTTCCTCAGCACACCTGAACCTCCTGGGGCCAGGCTGGGGGTGCCCCCTCCCCTGTACCTGCCACCTCCTGGTGGGGCTCTGTGCAATGGGCTGCATCCCACACAACCCTGGATGAGGGTCAGAGTCTGAATGCCATTAACTGGGAGATCCTTTTTGATGGGTTGGGAGCAGCTTCCTCATGGTAGGGGGAAGACCTGCTGGGTTTGGAAAGGGGAAGCAATGCCCACATAGAGTCAATGGCTGCCAGAGCCCTCCAGTGCCAATCAACAGGGCCTGGAACCCACCCTTTTACTCTTGGGCTTGTAGAAAAGGTGCATACACTTCATTTAAGGGGAAGCTCTTTGGTGGAATTGCCTGGATTAACCTGCAATTAACTGTAAATTTATGTGATTTTAGCTTGTCCTGTCATTTGGTGTTTTATGTTCACTGGTGGTCATGATTGGTGTAATTTTAGAAATAGAACAGAAGGAAACACTGCAATCTAGAAAGAAAACAATTCAGATGCATGAACTTAAATCCACTTTTTCCCCCTGTTTTTTATTTATTTTTTTTTACGGTTTGACACCTATCACAGTTTTGTGTCTTATTGTGCTTGATATGGTGAGGTGCTGGTTCGGGGCCTCAGTCTATGGAGCACTTTGACTAAAGAAAACATTTGCTTTCTTTTACAACAGAAGTACCAGATGCCAAAACTGTAGAGCAGAAGTGTGCAAATTGTGGTCTGTTACCATTCCCAATGGGCTCCTTTCCCCAAAAGCTTATGTTTTCTAGATGAAACACAAAGTTTTATGTGAATCCCAATTGAAGATCTTTTAACAGGGTGATTGGCAATATCACTTCTAGAAGACGTTCCCAATTCAAAAGAAATGGAAACTTTTTACTTCCAGTTTTCACTGTATAAAAAAGGGAGAAAACATGCAAAATAAATGAGCAGTTACTCAAGTTCCTTTAACATGTAATTTCCCATCAACAATGTCCCTTACAAAGTCTTCATCCCATTATCTCAGAAGGAGGGGCCAGTGTAGGAGTTCTTGGTGCTGCAGAATTGTACTTTATTGTACAGTTTATTGTACAGTTTATTGTACAGTTTATTGTGCTTCACATTTCCTTTTGTTTGTTGCCCAATTCATACAAATGCTGACTAGAGTGCAAAACTGAATCCCTAAATAGGGATGTGTTTTATTCTGTGTTTTATTCTGCAGGCTTTAATGGGAGGCAGGTGAGCACTGCAGCTTCCAGACCTCAGCCAGTGATTACAGAAAAATCCAGCATTGCATGAGGCTGCTGAAAGGGAATGCTCCTCTCACAGGCCAGGAGTGACTTGTTGCTGTTTATGCTTGGGAAACAGCCATTCCAGCTTGGAACCACGATGAAGAGAAAGGGAACTGCAGGGCTGCCTTTGTTTTGGGGGCAGAGTGTTCGTGGTCTGTGCTGCAGCAGGGTACATCAGGCAGGGAGCAGGTCTGAGCTGCCTCAAGGCACAGGGGCAAAATACAAGACATCACCAATAAGCAGGTGTTTGACTTCCAAGTGCTGGTGCTATGTCAGAGTCTAACTCTGGCAAAGGTTTCAGACAGAAATATTGGGGGTTTTTTGAAAAATAATGTGAACTTGAAGGAACTGGAGGTGAATTTTTGTTCTGCTTGTTGACTTGTCCAGGAGAACAAAGGAAACACTAAACCCATCCCTCTGTGTACTTTTGTCCGCACCCCAAAGAAACAGGAGTTATGTGGAATGCTGAAATGTCTTGCCTTGACATCTCAGAAATGAAATTCTAAATTTCCTCTATGTTTGTTTTTAAAGTGCTGTTTCTTTGTAAATTGAGCGCAGGCTGGCCTAAGAGATAAGCTAGAAATACCAAACCATGCATTGGGATCAAAAGCTTTCACTTAATTCAAAATTATTTTTGCTTTCCCTCCTCCCAGTTTTGTGTTTTTAGTTTCTCTGGAAAAATGGACTCTTTGCAGGTCAACCTGCAGAGCAAAGTCTGCTGGCCTCTCTTCCTCTTGCTGTTTCCTATTGAAACAGCTAAATGAAAATGAAAAATATACCCATGTGCAGCACAGAAACTTTCTTTGTACACACAGAATCCCCCATCCAGGTGCAGCAGGGACCACAAGAGGAGTCCTCTGTGGCAGACTGCAGCATTGTGGTGCAGTGGTCTGGTGCCTCAGTATCTGCTGGGACCTGGGCTCTTCCTGCTGGAGCCTCCTCCCTGCCCCTGCCCTGGGAGCATTTCTCATGCCTGCTTCCCTTGTGGGGTCCCATGCAAGGGTGAGGTAGAGCCTGTGGCTGGAAAACATCAGTGGGATTGATGTTATGGACAATTCCAGCCAGGAAAAGCCACCCTGGGTGGAGTGAGCTGCTCAGGTGGTGGAAGGAGAACTTGGTTCATGACCCAGAGGTAAGGTGATGGGAGGTTTGGGGACATTTTGTGTCCAGCTCAGGTGCACATCTCTGCCTGTGGCACAGATGCTTGGGATCTGCTCTGGTTTCAGCTGGGATAGAATCAGTTTGCTTCCTAATGGAGGGTACAGTGCCATGTTGTGGATTTAGTATGAGAATAATGTTGATAACACACTGATGTTAGTGGTTGCTGAGCAGTGCTTGCACTCAGCCAAGGAGTTTTTAGTTTCTCATGCACAAGAAGCTGGGGAGCCATGGCTGGGACAGCTGACTTGAACTGGAACATCTGAAAGGATGTTCCAGACCACAGGATGTCATGCTCAGAGTATAAACTGCAGAGAGCTGACTGGCAAGGGTCAATCACCAGCAGGTGGTGAACAATTGTATTGGGCATTTTTCCTATTATTACTATTCTTTAAAAGAAACATTTATTTCAGTTATTAGACTGGCCTTAACTCACAGATTTTGCCCTTTTCTGACTCTTCTCCCCATCCCACTGGGGAGGCTGGGGGCAGGGAATGAGAGCTTAATACTTACTTGTTGGCTGGGGCTAAACCACAGCAGGTTACCAATTTGCCCACAAAACCCAAGGCTCAGGGGAGCCAGGCTGAGCCATGCCTCAGGGGAAGCTCAGAGAGATCAGTCTAAGCTCTGAGAATCAGGCTGGCATCTCTGGAGATGCCTCAGCCCCTGGGGAGCCTGCAGGCTGAGCTGGGTGTTCTGAGCCTCCTCTGGCTGTTACAGACACCAGCCCTGCACAGAAACTCCCTCAGCTGTCTCTGGGTGACACAATGAGCTCAGTCCCCAACCAGCACCCACAGGCTGGGCTGCTGAGGGACAGGAGCCAGCCAGGCTGCTTCTGGATGCTCTGCTGCCTCCCTCCTGCACAGCAGGGCCCCCATCCTCCCCATCCTGCAGGCAGGCTGGGAGGTCTGCCCGTGATTTTCAGAAAGGATGATTACATCTGCAAAGCACCCGGGATGAAGAGCGTTATGTAAGTGTAAGATAAGGTTATTTATAGAGCCAGGTTTTATCCAAAATGGAATTAAACTTGTGTTCCTGAAGCCTCTGCTGTCAAAGACAAATTGGAATTTGTCCACTAGCTTTGCATTCAAATTGTTTTTCTCAGTTCATCTCGAAGTTTAAGAATGTGTTTTATTTACAAATTATACATCTCAGAAAGTGAGGAAATCTCCTTTCCATCAGCTCTGAGGTGGCCATGTGAGCCTGGGCAGTGGCCATGGAATCCTCAGCCATAGTCAAGCTTTGTAATCACATCAGCTGTGATACTAAAGTACCATAAACCAGGAAAGGAAGGTAGAGATTGAGCTGGGTTAAACAACAAAGCCAGAAATAATTGTCCTAGGCACAATATTTTGCCTTCATTTAACACTCTCTGTGGCAATCTATGAGCTGCAGGAGGGTTATATCCAGCTTATATCCCTGTTGGAGGTGGCACTAGTTCAGTGGGTTAATGTTTGTGCTCCTGCAGAACTACAGACACTGTGACCTTTTAAGATCATCCATTATTAACTTAGAGAGCTTTCCTTGCTCTTTTGAAATATTAGAATCAAATCCCTCATATCTGTACTTTTTACAAGCCATGAAAATGCAAATTTCTGGGATGCCTGCTGAAATCCATGCTAACAGGTGTTAGGAATATTGTTTTATGAGGTACAACACCTTGCATAGGTTAGTTTGTGGAGTTCATCTGCTGCCCCTCACTTGTCATAGTATCTAGCATGAAATTCCACACATGCCTTTTATTTAGGAAAGAACACAAAAGTATGTTATCTTATTCCCCTGGAATTTTCCACAGTTATTTAGCATGTTAGTTTAAGCATAATTGCTTAGTGGGCACTTGAAATCTATATCTTAGCTGTGCTTATTTACATCAGGCTAAAAGTAGTTCATTTCAGTTGAGGTAAATGTGAAGCATTAGATTGCAAACGTACCTAATCCATCTCTCCTCCCCCATGACTAGAAATCCTGTGGTTAAAATAACACAGCCTCTATTCAGAGCACAAACTTAGAGCTGCGAGCAGGAGCAGGCTCGGGATTTAAACAACTCTCAGCAGATGAGTCTGTTCACGGGTCTCTCTCGGGTTTGTTTTTCATCCTACTTTTGATCCATGAGAGAAAGCCAGGCTCTCTCCTCTGGGCAAGCAAGGTAAAGATTTTCTGCATTCTCTATACGGTAGCATGCGCTTGTAAAGGAGCTTATAAACACGATTGCAGAAGGGCTGTGGCAAAAGCAATTGTAAAAATGTTGCTGTTATAGAGCAAGGAGTGTTTGGCAAATGGCTTCACAATTTTGAAATGTTAGTCTGGTCTCCTGGCTATTTCCACACGACAGCGAAAGGATGAAATGATAAACCTTGCACAGAGAAGCAAGGAGCAGTGATTCTCCATCACACACCGGAGAAGCTGAGCCTGTAGGAAATAGCAAACCTGGGAAATGCTGTCATCCAGCCAGGCTACAGCAGAGCTGGCATTTTGCTAAGGGCCAGGTGTAGTCCCTCCTGGGTTTGTCCAGCTGCTGTAATCCCGTTTGGGAGCTGAGGCTGTGCTGGAGGATGGCACCGAGTGTTTACTGAGGATATGCTAATGCTGCTCCAGCGTGACTCTTACAGGAACGGCGGATCCAAGCGTGCTTTCAGGAATGTTTGGATGCGGCGTGCCAGATAATTAACTGCTTTTCTTTCCTCTTACTGCTTTCCAAGGCACAGGGGATGTAGAAAAGCATCATCTTTCCTTGAATAGTTATTTTATTTGAAATCCAGGAAACAAGCGTGATGTCTGTGCTAACGCCCGTGGAGCTGCACTCGCAGCGCCAGGGTCTGTTAACTCTGCCAGCCCTGTGCTGCCTGCTCACGGGGGATCCCGGGTACCTCATCAGCCCTCCTGCACCTCGATGTTCAAACACAGAGGGTGGCACTGCTGGGGGGAATACGGAAACACCCTAACTCACATTTTTGCTTAATTTAAAATAATGCTTCTCCTCCCTGCCCCAAGGCACGGGACAGTATGGTTGTGTTGTGGGGGCAGGCACTCTCTCCTTCCATCGGGGTAGCACAAAAAAATACTGCTCCAGGTGCTATCTTCCAGTACTGGAGAAATCCCTGTTTTGCACACAGAGATGCTCACTTTCCCCTTCCTCTGCTTTCCACTCCTTTTTTTCTTGGCTGATTTCCCATTGTCCTGTGTGCAGTCACTGGCCACCCCATGTCACTCCCCATGGCAGCGTGCTCCCCACTCCTGCTCAGCCAGAGGAAAGAGGGGGACACGCCAGCTCCTCTCAGCACGGACCTGTCGTGCTGTGGGGAAGCTTCTTGACTGGAAAAAGTGCCCTGGTCCCTTGAGCCAACAGTGCTGCTTTGTCCTGGGGGAGAAATGCAGCGTTATCACTTGGGTGCCCAGCAGCAGGGCTGCAAGGAACACAAACACACCTCTTTTTCTGATTCACTGAGCACACCGCGGCAGAGAGGCAGCTCAGAGAGAGAACATGTGCAAAACAAAGAAATGCGGTCAGGCAGGAACTATAAAATTCCAATATAGAAAGTGGAGCTGATGTCATTTTAACGTCCTAAGCAGTGCCAAGAATTCTAAGCTCTGTATCAAGATTCAGTGCAAAACCCCCACAAACTCACAAGTTGTTCTGTGGAAAAATTAACTTTCATGGAAAATATGCATGGGAACATGCCAGAGGAGTGTGTTGTTTTATTTCTTTTATTAATTTTGAATACATTAGTTCAGAGAGCAATCCCATTTTAGCATCAGCTGCCTCTATCCAAGAAGCAGAAGCTCACACACACAGCTCACAAATATTGGAGGCGAGGGAGCTGTGTTTTCCTCTGTGATCAGTTGCTAGATGGAAAGAGCTGCTCGAGTAGGAAGGGTGTGGGAAGGCTCAGTGGGATGACTGACTTAAAGCTTTTTTCCTGGTGACATATCTGAATCGTGATCAGATGCACCTGAATGGAGCAGCATCATCAGCTATTATAATGCTGAGTGCGTCAGAGGTGGGATTGCTGCAGCTCCTGTGATAAAGGTCATTCATCTCTGTCCTGCTGCAGGACCGCCTGCGCTGCTGCTTGTAACTTTGTCAGACTTGAAAAGTTTAGACTGAGCTCTTCCAACTTGATTGTCTGCCTTGGGATAAGTTCTTTTCTGGAAAATTTCTGCCAAAACTGTCCAGCCAGCTTTGTCCATTCCAAGAATGAGCATAGGGAAAAAGGAATTGTTGTCCAACTGGAAAAAAAAGAAAGGAAGAAACAGGAGGGGGGAATCTGGTGATCCTTTTTTTGGATAGTTCTTATCCCTCTGTGCTCTGGAGTTGAGATCTGAAATTTGGCAGCTTTCTGTTAGGAATGTGATTTTTTTTTTTTAACTTTGTAAATCTCCTCCAATTTGGCTTAGTGATAGCCTTTGAAGGGAGAAAATAGCAACTTCTTAGGGATGTGCTAAGGCTGAGCAGTCAAAATCTGCTGAGATTCCTTCCCACATGAGTGAGCTCAGCCCAGCATCCCAGCAGCTCCCAGTGCTGACCCCGATGCTCCTGTGCAAACAGTCAGTGCCACCAAGCTCCTGCAGATCCTGGTGCTTCCCCACAGCATGACAGGGACCCAGGCCCTCTCTTTGCAATCCAAGAGTCATCCCATCTCGAGGAGCAGAATGAAGATGGGCTCTTTGTGTAGTGCTGCTCAGGGCAGAGTTGATTGTGAGTGGAAAGGCAGGCAGGAAACAACACTGATTCTTTCCTGTCACAGCCTGGTGGCAGACAGGGACCCAGGCAATGCTGGGCCTAGCAAAGACCTGGTACTTGGATGCTAAACCTGGAGGGTTGCATGGGAATGGTTTGAGGAGTACATGGCACAAATGAGGAGTCAGGGGGCCTGGGAGCAGGTCAGGAAGGTGTGGGTCAAGATGTGAGCCATAAGCAGAGCCCAGGCACAGCAGAGCTTGATATGAAACCTCAGCTACCCCATCCTTGGTCCCTTTTTGAGAATATGAGTGGTACCTCAGCATTGGCTCCCGTCCCACTCTCCCTGCAGGGTCTCTCTGCCAGGTCTTGCTGAGGCTCTCCCCAGTCTGCAGCCAGTGGCTGTGGGTGCCCCAGTGTCTGCATGTGCCATATGGCCCTGCTCCTGATGTCCACTGCTGCCATGGGAGCTAGTGGGAGCTCTGCCTCCAGAATGTCCCGTGTGCCTGGTGATGACCACTCCTGCACAGCCCCATGGCTGTTGGTCACCCTCTGGGGACAGCTGGGATGGGTAACCAAGATCCTGACAAAATAGTGCCTGGTGCAGTCAAGCTGTTGCTGACATGCCTGTCTCTGTTTCTATTTTATTCAAATGGCTAAAGAACCACCACCCTTGACAGAAGTACTAGAAGAACCCAGGTACGACAGGGAAATGTGTCATTGTACTTCCAAGTTTTGGGAAATTCAGTCATTTTTGTTGAGGAGAAGTTGGGAAGAAAATAAAGCCTAGGACTGCACTGAACTCTAAGGGAAAAAGCCAAAATTCTATTGAATAGTTCCAGTGAAAAAAGTTCATCCAGTACCATGGGATAAAGCTGAGACCTCTGGAAAAATATTGTGTGTTCATCTAATTAACAATTGTACCATAACACATAGCACAAAGGAGGCCTAATTCTGGCATCTCTTGCCTCATGGATTTTTCAGTCATAGCAGTATTCTTACAGCCTATTTTTGTAGGCAATGCATATGCAACATTGGAGACAGATGGCAAAATCTCAGTGCTCATTGTGACGTGATTTCCACATCCAAAGGTAGGAGCTGCAGCCTGCTTGTTTCCACTCCTGCTGCAGTGGCAGGGAAAGGTGGTTTTCCTCACTTCTTTTATGACTATAGACTGTGGAGCAACCTGGACAGCCCCTCCTTCCACAGAGACATGCTGTGAAGTTTTGTCATCTTCATCAGATCCGGTGAGCCCCATGCTCTGTGAGACTGCAGAAACAGAGAACAGAAGGACAGGAGCTGTGAGAACAGTGTGAGGAGACCACAGCTGCCTACAGCCAGCTATGGAGGGGGGAAGGAGTCCTAGGAAGCTGCGAGACATTGTTGGCCAGGGCTGCAGGTAGGGCTTGCTGTGCACTGACAGCCTTGCTTCAGGCAAGGATGTCACAACCAGGAGTTGTAAGCAGGGATTTGCAGGAGAGCTGAAACAGAAAAGGAAAAGGAGAGGTGGATACTTATGGGATTCTGCTCCAAGGGTCAAGGTAAAAAATGGACATTCCTAAAGTTTGATGCTGAGTAAGTATGGAGTTGACAGTTGAAGGAGCAGAGATACTTATTGGGAATGTCCTTGTGGGAGCTGTCACAAAGTAAATAAATCCAGGAGGATGTTGCTCTTACAGCTTTGATGAGATGATTACAAGTAGGGAGCAGCGCCATGAATGAGGCAGTCAAGTCTGTGCATAAGGTTTCTTGCACAGATCTAAAAGAGCTGCTGCCTCCTCATCTGGCACCCCAGCTGGTCCAGCCAGCTCCTCACATTGCTCACAGCCCACAGCAAGTCAGGTCACCTCGTGAGTGCTAACTCAAAACCTTCACTGCTTGATGAATTGTTTAACCTACTTGAGGCTCAGACTCTACTCAGAGAATCCCATGCTCTTCCTGCAGTTTTGGCCTGAATTAAACCAGTATGTGTAACATGACTGGTTCAACAATCACAACACTGTGCCTTGGGACTTTGCCTCTGCTGGAAACTAAAGTACATGCAATTAATTCTGTGGTTCCTCAATGAACAAAATGGGTCTTTTGTGTAATATTATTACTCATTTGTTTCCAATTAGTTATGAATCATGAATTGTTTTGTCTCAGAAATAAATGCTATTTCTTTTCCCAAATTATCAGGTTTTTACCTACCTTACATACCCTGATGTTTCCACAGATTCTGTGAGCCAAGCCCACTGTCCTGATCCATGCCAGAATCTTGGGTTTCTGAATGTAATTGTAGAGTAAGATTGAGGTCTTCAGATCCTGTGGCTTGAGAGAATTAAAATGACCCAAGACCTGGGTTGCTACTTTGCATTTCAAATATAAATATAAATATAAATATAAATATAAATATAAATATAAATATAAATATAAATATAAATATAAATATAAATATAAATATAAATATAAATATAAATATAAATATAAATATAAATATATCTTCATTTTATTCTGCTGTGCAGTGATGTGTGTTAGGGTGAAACATCCAAAAATCTGCTTACAAATGGATGTACAGATTTTGTCTCCTATCAAGGCACAGCCCTTTCTGAGTATCTTGTAGTGACCATCTTGGTAATCCAAACAGTGTTCTCCTGTGTAAATCAAGTCCTGCTCAATACAGGGAATCTGCCAGGTCTTCAAATGTATCCATGAAATGTGTCACTTGGGCTGTGTGACCTTTACAGAATCCTCCAGTTTCAGGGACACTTTGGAAAAGTGACTAATTATGTGTTCTAGTGCCTTGCAGCTCAGATACAGAAGGGGATTGAATACACAGTCATCAGGAAAGAAATACTCATTTCTGGTAAGGCAAAAAGGCCTTACCTTTTTCAAAAGCTCAGGTTGAGGAAGATGAGCATTTCATCCTTTTGCACCCGTGAATTTGGGAAACCCCTACTCAGACACAAATTCACATTGACTGGATAGCATTGCCAGGGTTTGCACCCCTGCTACACATTGGCACAAGGCAGAAATCCCCTTATCAATAACTTCCCTCAGAGAAACAGAATCAAACAAAATGATGTTTGATCCACCTCCAACACCTTTGCTCATAATGGATTGTTTTGGCCTCTTGTATATTTGTAATCAAATGTTGCTGCTTTTCACATACAGTTCACTGTGTTTAAACTGAGAGGGATCTTGCTTAAATATTTATTTAAACAATAACATCCCTTGAGTTCTTTGTAAATTGCTGTACAAAATTAACCCCAAACACTATTTTAAAAATTTAATTAAACTGGTTTTCTGCCTGAGCAGTGCTGTGGGCCAGTGCCTCCTTCTACCAGGGCTGAAGATCCTGCAGCTCTGAAAGCCAGCTCCTGCTCCACAGGACTCATGCACCCAGCCCTCAAATTTTTCCAGCTGCTCCCAGAGTTGCAGAGCAGAGTTTCAGAAGTCATATTGGTTTTGCCCCAGGAACCCGAAAATCCTGTCACTTCCAGGAACAGGATCCTTTCCTGAATGCAGGAAAACTGCTCTGAGAGTGTCTCTTCCTACTGGTACCTACAGACCATGGCTGAGGATGGAAACACAGCAATGCCAACCCTATGCAGCTCACAACTGCTGGGCAGCAGTGTGGAGGCTGAGGCCGCTGATATTTTTCAATAGTATTTAAATTATAACTTCATAACCTGCAGGTCTGGGAATTTCTGAGCAAAAGACCCTAAAATTACATAAGCCACACAACATACTCTCTGTTATTTGGACGGAGTCTGCAATTCTAAGGACTCACTATCCCAAATAAAAATATTTTTATTATACATAAAAGAGAGGATTCAAACTCTTCTTTAGCAGGCCATTTTCTTGTACTTAACTTTTGTTAAAGGTGGACTTACACAGGTAGGTAGCATTAAGGTTATCTGTTAAAAATTTTGCACCAGATTAGCAATGATGAAGTAGAGAAGAGCTACAGCCTTTCTTCTGCATTTCTAATTCCACATTTTTCCAGCATCTTGATGAATCAGTTATTGGCTAAATCAGTTATAGTCAACATGGATTTGGATGGAAATTGAGTTACTCACCAGCTAAAGTAAGTGCAAAGAAGATAATTCATTATGCTGCTCCTTAGCTATAATTGAAGCTCATCTCCTCATTTGAGGCTCTGTGTGGGTTTAATCATAGAGCTGAACTGGGGGAAAAATACCAAAGCTTCTCTGAATCATTTTTATTCTCGCTCCAGTTCTTTATCATTAATTACATCAAGACAGATCTCCAAGGAGACAAAGAATGGTGCCATCAGCCTGCTGGCACTTAGGTCCCCCAAAACCTTCACTTCTTTTGCTAAGTGCAATGTGTCTTTGCATGGTCCCTCGGGGGAGGAAGAGGCAGGCAGCATTTTGCTTGAGATCCTTCTTGTTCTGAGTGCAGATTTCCACAGACCAAATAAAAAGGTACAGCCTTTTTAGTGCTAACACTAGAGGTGAAGCTGGGAGATCAATCAGCCTTTTCTCAGCTGAAGAGGATTGCAGAAACAGTTTTGAACATCAGGAGGGTATTGAACATTACTTTCCTCCCATGGTGAATGCAATACGTGGAACGTGTGTCTCAGACATCCTTTCCTTTTTCCATCTGAATGGAAAAGATCTCCTGGTACTTTTCTCTCCATTAGGCAAGGCCATGGTCAGCAGCATGGATGAAGTACCAGAGTTCAGTAATTTCAGATCAATACTTCCTTACTTGTCTCTGTTCAGAGGAAGCACATTTTTCTCTCCATAGAGCCTTTTTCCAGCTCTCAACCACCCAGACATCTTGTGTCAGTTTTAGGGTTAATTTCCTCCTTTTAGTTTCCTGCCATTATTTCCTCGCAGAACCTGGAGTCAACCTTTGACAGTAAATGTGTCTGAAATAGGATTTCCAGAATAAAGGGGTTTTTAAGGTTTTTTGCCTGGACCAGTCAATATGAACAGCTACTTGGTAGCTAGAGAAGGGGTTTTTTCCTCTCCTTCCAAACTTTTGCCCTTCAGCTCTTGCATAGCCACTGGGCCTGGCACTTCCACTTCAGGGGATCTGAGAATCATGTCTTTGTCCACAATCAGATCAGAAAGTGAAATTACAGAAAATTTTAGGGAACTGCCTGGTGCTGAAACTGTTGTTTCAGACATGTCCAGGTTGCTTAACTCCAGAGAAATGAAACATTTTGATGGTTCAGAAAGGAAACAACTTGTTTCTAGTTTGAACTGAATGAAAGCCTCTGAGCTCCTCTCAGTTTGATGTTGGTCCATGCCCTCTCTCTTGTTCTGTGGCGTCTCATGAGGGCTGTTGCTTGCCAATAGCTGTGTCTGACCAGCTGAGCTGCACACACACCTAACTCACAGCAATCACACTCCTGTGTCTCTCCACTGGAGATAGGAATACCCCTTCCACCAATTTTCTCAAGATCACACACACCTGTAATGGAAGGTATTCACCCAGACAAGGGACTTTGGAAACAAGGACTGCAGCAGGAATCTCATCTTGCTCCTGGGAACCTGATGTAAGACCCTGTAAAATGCAAGACTGAGGAAACCAACCATGTAGCATGACCTGAAGCTGTGCCAAAAGAAGCAAGCCCACTTATTTCACTGTGCTCTTGCAAGGACTGGAGCTGTCTCCTGGACATGGTAATACTCACTTCCCAGCTTTCACTCCACTAGATGTGGAGAAGCAGCTTGCAGTGTGATGCTCCACATCTGTTCTGGCTGTCCTACCCACAAAACCACCTGTTTCCTGCAGGGTTGGGGACAACCTGGGCAAGGGGCAAAAGCAGAACCAGGAACTGTGACCACTGTACCAGGCACCTCTACAAAGGTCTCAGATGTTTGCATGGCCAACGTGTGCCTTGGTTTAATTCAGCCCTGTTTGTATGGCTTTGTGAGCACTGCAGCAGCAAGAGTCCCAGTGTTTGACTACTGTTATTTATTAGGTAGAATACTGCCCAGTCCTGAGCCTGAACTCTCCAAACCGAAGCCCAGTATATACAGTCCATCTTGCTTCTCTCCAAACATCATCCAGCATCAATCACAGCACTGTAAATTGTTTACACAAAACTGCAGACATCATAACTTATTAAATAACTCTCTTGTCGGTCAGATAAGTAAATATTTCGAAAGACTGTGAACATCGTGGCAAGCTGGAACTGCCCAGACCAGCTCCAAATGGATCCAAGCTAACAGGGGACCATATTTGCCTTGCCTTTGATGTCCCTGCTCCAAACTGGGCTGAGAAGGGATATGAAAACAAGCCTCCCTAAGGGAAGCTTATGCAGTTTAAAAGATGCTCAATCTTCTGTAGAGATAAAAAGAAGAAGAATGTGGAATGAGTTTGCAAAGAAACTGTCTTCCTGAAGTAGTAAATTTGAACTTGTGGGAGTCAGACCCTCCCCTCCTTCTCCATGTCCTCCTCTTTAAACACAAACAAATCGAATGGATGCCAAAACGTCTCTGCTGCAGAAGGGGTTGAGGGCTCATTCCTTGGGCCATAGCTGGAGATTGCTGGGGGATTTCTCTCGCTGTTGGTGGAGTGGATGGTGGCAGCACCTTCACACAAGCACCTCTCCTTGCAGGCAGCCCTCCCAGGAGCTCTGGCTGCCAGAAGGGGAATGGTGCTGGCTCTGACTCCCACAGTTCCACTGCCTGCCCATGGTAAGTCTCTGTGCTTTTGCAAACAGACCGTGGCTGTCTGCTGCTATCGGAAACACTCAGAAACATGTTGTTCTGTGAGATACTTGTTTCCAATCATTTCCAACAATTATTTGGGATATTTTTCCTTTCAAGTTCACTGAGTTGTACCAGTTCACCTCCTTTTCAAAGGGATTGTGTTATATGCAGGAATGTGGAGTTGAAAGGACCAGAATTTTTGCAACAGGAATTTGTTTTGGAAGCAATCGAGTTGGAAGGAGAGGAAACGGGCAGCCCACCAAGGGCTTCGGCAGGATTATCCCACCCTTTCAGCAAGCTACAGCCAGGGCAACTCATGAGCTGGGGCTGAGCCTGCTTCTGGTGGGGGTAGGGACAGACAAACTGCTCTCACCAGCAGTTTAATACAGCACAGGATCCAGTCATGTCTCTTGAAAGCTCATCTGAAAATTCCCCTCAGGCACAGACCTCAGTGATGTGAATCAGGGAATCACAGAATATCCTGAGTTGGAAGGGACCCCAAAGATCACTGAGCCCAACTGTGGCAGCCACCAAGAGGTAGGAAAGCTGGGTGAAGCTGGCCCTGGGCTGCTGCTGGTGGGTCACTGGTGCTGAGGAGGGCACTGGTCTGCACAGCCCCTGCCAAAGGCCAGGCACACAGTCCATTGTCAGATGAAAACCCATGGACTTGAGTCTAACCTGGTGCTGACTCAGTGACTCAGCTGTGAGTTTGGCATTTACTTGTTTGGTGCCTGACTGGCACCTCCTGGCCTGCTTTTTCTCTAGCAAGATTTTAATTCTGAGTCTTTTGAGATACTTCAACACCTCCCGTTGTTGGTGCATCTGGGTAGTTTTCTTAAAATATATGTTTCCTCACACTGTGTGTATCACTTATTTAATGTCAGAGGCATGTGTGAGGCTGTCCATGTTTGCAAAAACTCAGGGGTTTCATCCCAGGGCTGAATCAAATGCTGCCAACACAGCACAATACAGACATAAATAAAACATAGCTTGTAGAGACCAACTGTCAGTGGTTCTCAACTCCTCAAATATCCATTTCTGTTTGTGCACAGCCATACTTACTGGCACTCCTGCCTCAATATATTCAGTATAAACTGATGATTGATTAAGAAAACAGGTTAAGAAAAAGAAAAAACCCAAAAGAGTAATTTCTTACACAAGTGGGTGCATGTGGAGGGGAGATGGAAAAGGGTGCAGAGGTAACACCAACATGGTGGGATACAGGGACAGTGTGAAAAGGTGTCCTTGCAGTCAATATGTTCATGTCCCACAGGTGCAGAGAGGTTTCACACCTTGGAGTAAATGTTTCCCAATTCCTAAACACACATGATAGGAAAAACCAGCATGCAGAAGGAAACACATTCTGGTAACTTGCCAGAAGGAAAGGTGTTATTTTTCAAAAGAGAGCTGGAGACACTCCAGCTCTGGATTCATATCCAGCTCTAGCCTCCAGCCACAAATACGAACCTGCACTAATGCAGACACTGCCAAAGAGCCACCACTCTTGTGGGCTGTGTGTCACACACAGCTGTGTGGCATTGTGACATGGCTGTCACTCAGTGGGGTGTCCCAGTGTGCTGGATGAACCTGTGGGCACTACAGGAGGAATACCCTCCCACACCTGGAGCCCCAGGGAGGGCTCACTCACACTCTGCAGGACCCCACAGTTCCCAGAGCCCATCTCAGCTCTGTCCCTTTCCCTCTCATGGGGCTATGGGTGACCCATCTGTTCCACCAAACTCTGCCAGCCCTGGGTACGTGCCCTGCTCTCTGCTGAGGAGGGGATGTGTTGGCCATCTCTGCTCAAAGCTTTGCTGTGAGATAAGGTACTGTGCAGCTGGCTCTGTGGTGATGTTCCTATTGACCAGCACCTACAGGAAGCTTGCAGTGGGTAAATTTGCCCTTAAGTAAGTGCATTTCTTTTCCTATCTTCATTGTAACATGCCACTGTTTTTTCAACCATTAGTGATTATTCTCCCTCTCTCTTAACATTGTCTGTGATTTCTGTGTCAGGAGGGGGAGTATTGTCAGATCACATTCTCATGATGGGAGAGGCAGAAAATCCGTTCTGTATATCATGTGACCTTGGCTTGCAACTCCACAAAGGATTTCTTCGAGCCCTGCTTATTATCTCGTTTTATACTTTAAAGAAAAGCGAAAATGCTTGTGACAAATGGCCTCGTTTATCACATTTAATTGCCTGACTATTCTTTTAAGCCTCTGAAACACACTTTGGGCCAAAGCACTGGGAAGAGAACATGCCATTTACCCTGGTCTGCTGCCAGGTCACATTAAAAAATGTTCAGGAGGTGTTTTCTAGATCAGTACACGGAGTGGGAGTAAGGGTGTGCACTCTCACCACAGCATGCTTCCCTCCTGGTTTCTCGAAACCATGACAGTGTCAGCCCTTTCACAAGCAAGCAGCAGAAATGAGCAGAAATGAGAATTCCTAGTGAAACTGTTGTGGGAAGGGTGAAGCCACTAAAAGGTTGTATGTGAAAGGTGTCAAGACTTCCCTGCTGACTAAGAGAGTGCCTAGAAGGGGACTGTGGGGTCTCCCTTCATCCCAGAACTAACAACAGAACTAACCAACATTTCAGTGACAGCTTAGGCAATGTGAAAATCAGTGCCGTGCTTGTTGCAGCTATGGCAGGAGCTGTGCTGATTGTAGGCTGTGGAATGACAATTGGAGATAGGGATTGAAAACCCCAGAGATGCAGTTTGGGGGGATGAGTGCACAGATTTCCCCAGCGTCCCTGAGACAGGCTGGCACTGACTGTGTGAGCCCATGGGTTGTGATGGGTCATGGGCTGCCCCTAATATGTACCCATAATGTCATATTGCTGCAAACAAAACCCCAAACACCACTGTAAACTACACAGATAGAAACACAGCCTGTAAGAAATCTCTCTTCCCTCAGTTTAGCTCCCCTTGCTAGTGTGAGACTTCACCCAAAGATTTTTCTTATGGAAGGAGATGGTATTCCCCAAAAAGGGTGTATATGGGGATGTGCAGGAAGGTAGGCAAAAGAAACTGGGCTTGATTGAAGAACAGAAATCTAAAGAGAGAAAAAAAATGTTTTCAATCACATAAAGGGCTGATCAACAAGAAAATTAATAACCTGGTCTCTGTCCCTGCTGCAGATACCAGCCACATGCTAAAATTTCAGTCAGGGTGTGTACTGGGTCTGGCTGGGAGGGAGTTAAGAAAGACTTAATACAGATTTAAGGAATGTTTTTAATAGCAAGTGTAGTAAAACACTTAAATACTTTGTCTCAGGAGACTGTGGAGGTTCTGTTATTAAAGGTTTTTCAGAACAGGTTGTTATACAGACATCTGTAAGGATTCACCTAGGCATGGGATGGAATGATGGACTGGAGCCAGCCTGAGTCCCTGGGGATCCCTTGCATGAAATTTTGTTCACATTAATGTGAACACAAGACCCTTCTTATAGAGTACCAAAGACACCATCCTGTTTTTTCACAAATCCCTCCAAAAAGGTTTCAGTCTCTACTGAGCCTGTCTCCAGTTTGGAGATGGGAATGTTTTGACTCCTTTCCCCAACCCACTCTGACACAAAGGGGCCAATGAACCCCAGAGTCACAGAAACCTTCTCTCCCCTCCTGTCCTCTGCCAGCCTGGGACCCCTGAGATGGAAAGGGCAGGGGAAGGACCCTTGTTCCAAGAGATGCTGGAGTTTTGTGCCCTGGGAGAGCCATTCCCACATTGCTGCTCCTTCCCGGCGGCACACACAGGATACCCCAAATCCCAGTGCCACCCCACAGCTGCTCACCCCGAGGATGCCAAGGGCCTTCCCAGCCCCCAACCACCCCCACTGACCACAGGGGGACCCTGCATTGCATCCTGAGTGAAAGATTGACACAAATCCCACAGTGCTGATTAGCCACCCCTCTAATCCTGTGATGTCAGCGGGGTTTTGCCTGGCAGGATTTGGCCCATGGCCAAAGAGCTCTGGGTTTCATAGGCCTGGCTCTGGCAGGTTATCTATCTCCTGGTGGCAGGAGGAGGCTGTAGGTGTGAGGCTGCAGGAGGAGCCTGAGCTGGTGTTTTAGATACCCAGCAAGATTTATGCCAAGTTGTGTTCCTCTTTGTGGAAAAGGTGTTTCATGAAGAATGCAAAAAAAATCCTAAGCTGCAGTTCCTCTTTAACTACACAGCATATACATATATGTATATGGACATGGGTTTGATTATATCTATGTGTATAAATACATATATATAGTAATTGTACTGTTTTCATGGTTTTTACAAGCATGATTTCAGGGCATGAGACAAGGTACATGTGTGGTGAGGGGAGGAAAGGAAGAGATGGAATGAGAGGAAACTGCTATTGTACACAGCAGCTCTTTTCTAACCCCCATTTTTTACACTGATGGAATGCACCCAGGGACTGTTTCTACTATTTAAGGAAAAAGGTTCCTATACAAAATCCTGTGGTTTTGAAGTGATCCTTTTATAGGCATAAAAAGATTTTTCCATATCCTTCTGTTTGATTTCTTTTCTTTTACTCAGACCTGGCTACTCAAATAGATATTTGCAGAGTATCATGCACTGGAATCATACACTTCATTCCTGTTTCTGGTACTGGAGATCAAATATCCCACCAATTTACTACATAAAGCCATGGGGATGCAAACTGAAGTCAGTTTAGCTGTAGGCAGTGCAAGAGAGAGTTGAATTTCGTCCGGCACCCATCCCAAGGGATCTTGTGCTGGCAGTGACCCATCACAGAATTGAATGTGCTGTATGTTCCACAGCAGGTTTGCCTCTCCCAGGCTTCTAACTCGTGGTGAATATTAATGGTGTTCGTAATCTCATGATTTGGAACAAAAATAACTATATGTTAACCTTGAGTTAATAACACAGGGGTTTAGGCAGCATGTCCTACACAGCAGTTGGATGCAATGCTCAGCCTGGACCTGGAGCAGGGACCTGAACACTCATTTCACATGTCCCAGAAGTGG